GCCATTTGTAGGGTGCTGCCCTTCCTCTTCCTGTCACCTGACCGGCTGCAGGGCTTGAACCTTAACCCCTACTTGACCGGCCGGCCATGACTGGAAGCTTCTGGACTTAAAGGGACCACCCTGCCTCTTAGTAACAGGGTTGGGGTTCCCCGTTACAGTGTCAAAACTGCAGGGCTGGTAAGTCTTACTGAGGCCACAAAGTCTGCCAAGTTTCAAGGAGATCGGTGTAGGGGTTTGGGGGGAGCTGCGCCTCAAGCTGCGGACAAGCAAAACTGGTGCCATGGGTGACACTGCGTGTGTTAAGGCGCAGCGGGGTGACAGCTGCAGGGATGGCGGCCCCTGCTGTGACGCCTGCCAGGTGTCGAGGAGATCGGTGCAGGGGGAGTCTGGGACCCTGCACCCCTAGCTGCTGACAGGCAAAACTCCTGCCAAGACTGTGTCTGTCCTGGGGAAGTTGATGGTCTGTATTGAGTCTTTCCTCTCCTTAGCCTGGGTTTGTAGGTGCTAATTGAAACTCATTAAGTCGTTATGTAGTAGCTAGGTCCTGTGTATCGAGCTGGTCCCTGGGTCCCTGGTCCCTGAGTGAATCATGATTGATTGATTGGTAACTGGGAACACAGCAGCTCAGCAGCCAGGCCTGCAGCAGTGTCTGCCCTCCCGCCCCAAGACAGACACAGTCAGTCCCACAGCACCCATGGCACCAGTTCTGCTTGTCCTCAGCTTGAGGTGTAGTTCCCCCCAAACTCCTGCACCGATCTTCTTGAAACTTGGCAGGCTTTGTGGCCTCAGTAAGCGCTAACGTCCCTGCAGTTTTGATCCCCCTGTGTTGTAACACATAGATGTGACAGGAGTTTTGCTTTCAAGAATTTGGGGTACAGTTGCCCCCAAACCCCTGCATCGATCTTCCTGAAACTTAGCAGGCTTCATCCTCTCTGCAGAGTCTACGACCCCTGATAATTTCATCCAAATTGATCAAAAAACAACAAAAAGTTATAGATATTTTATTGTTTCCCCATTATACCCTATGCTAGCTTTAGTTAACTCCTGGGCAAGAGCACTCACATAGGCAATTACCCCATCCTTTTTTAGCTCTGTTCTCTTCTACAGCCAGAGCCAGTGTGTCCCTCTACCCTGGAGGTGAGCCTATATATGCAGGCCAGCCCCTCCCTGCAGGTCAGCTGCCCTGGCTCTCTTCACAGCGTCTAGGGCTGCTTTCATCCCCCTCAGCTGCCCAGGACCCAGCCTGCAGGCAGCAGAATACTGGGCGGCTGAGGGGGATGAAAGCAGCCCTAGACGCTGTGAAGAGAGCCAGGGCAGCTGACCTGCAGGGAGGGGCTGGCCTGCATATATAGGCTCACCTCCAGGGTAGAGGGACACACTGGCTCTGGCTGTAGAAGAGAACAGAGCTAAAAAAGGATGGGGTAATTGCCTATGTGAGTGCTCTTGCCCAGGAGTTAACTAAAGCTAGTCTGTGGCCTGAGCCCTCTTTTATAGAGGGACAAATTGACCTGTGTTAGCTTCTGCTTCCCACAGGTTTACACATGGGACTTAATGAGGAGGAGCTCATGTGCAGTAAAGCCTGCCTGCCTTTACTGTGTGGTAAAATGCTTATGTGCCCAAGCTCTTGGACAGTCAGATCCTAGGGTGAATTCACAACACAACAAGCCTGTACAATCACCTTTTTAACTTGAGGGGGGAAAGTAAATTTGCTTTGCAGAGAAAAACTATTGACCCTTCAGTGCCCCAGCACTTTTTTCACGTGCTCGGGGGCGGCAGCGGGGGTGGTGCTTTAACTAGAGTGGCTCCCACAGCCACTCTAATTAAAGTGCCCACCGCATGTTGTGTATCAAACAAGCTTTAGTTAAAGCGCCCCTCCTGCCATTTTAAAGAGCAGGGGCGCTAATACACGAGACACACAGGCTGGCTGGAGTACACTAATTAGCACACTCCAGCAGACTTGATTGATTACAGCGCATCAGAGCAGCCTCTGGGCATGTCTACAGGCACCCCCAGAGTCTGCACTGGCTTCCTATAGCTTGCTGCAGTTCAAAATGCTGAATTTGACCTACAAAGCCCTAAGTGACCTCAGTCCTATGTACCTGAGAGACCACTTCCTTCCTTTGGATACTTCAGGTCAGCTGAGAACAACCTCCTGCAATTACCATCTGTGTGCCAAATTTGCTTGGCCAAAACACATAAGAGGTTGTTCTTGGTTGTTGCTTCTCACCTCTGAAACACCTTCCAACTGGAGACCTGCCAGAATACAAGCCTGCCCATATTTCAGAAGTGGTATAAGACCTTTTAATTTGGGCAGGTTTTTAGCAGGTGGAGTTAAACTTTGGATATTTTGTAGGGAATTATTTTGTTATTTTATCTATTTTTCTTTCTTTGTTATTGTAAGCCACCCTGAGTCTTTTTGGGAAAAATATCAAATAAAATAAACATACTGCAAAGGGGTATACCAACAAAAAGGTTAAATCTCCCTATTGTATTCACCAAGTAGATTCATTTGTTTTCTACTCTTCCATTCAGGGATTAAAAAGTTTAAAGGCAGCTACTTCCACAGCCGGGAATACAAAGGTCCAGAAAAATTCAAGGGGAAGAAAGTGCTTGTGGTTGGATTGGGAAACTCTGGCTCTGATATTGCTGTTGAGCTTAGTCACACAGCATCTCAGGTACAGTTTCCTATATAGTTCTGGAGTTTTCAGGTCTAAGGATGGATACATATATTTAGGGGGAGGGGAGATGCAGGGCTTTTGGACATCCAAATCAATGGTAACTGGGCATTGAGATCTCCTAGGTGGCTTTGAAGATCCCAAATGCAATACAAAATTGTAATGGGAACATTCTAAAGCAGGGGTGGGCAAAATCTGGCCCTCAGGCTGGATTGGGCCTGTAGCGGACTTTATCTCCCAGCAGCCCCTGCGGCAGCAGCTCCTTCTGGCTGCCACTGCTGGACACACCTGTGCTGCCTGGGCACCCTTGCCCATCTGCCCCACACCTACTGCAGGAAGCAGGACCTGCAAAGGCAGGGCACACAGCCAGGTGCCTGGAATGGGCCCAGTGCAGGGCCAGGGAAACCCCAGGATCTTGGGAGTGGGGGAATCCAGAGCTGGGCTGCAAGCCACTGCCCACACACCCCTGTAATGAATGTGGGTTCCATGGGCAAAGGCATGCAGGGAGCAGATTGTGACTCTGCCACGGCCCCACACTATCACTGTTCCAAGATACCAGCCCCAGAGCAGCTCTCCACCCAGCCACGTGCCCTACCCATGCAGCTCCTGTCCGGCTGGTCTCCATGGAGACCAGGCAGGGGCTGCTGGGAAATGGAGTCCAGTCACCAGCCAGATTTGCCATTTTGCCCACCCCTGTTCTAAGAGATTGCATCACTGGATACAAATTGAAATAAAAAATAATGTAATTCTCAGTGGGCTACCTCTCTAACATATACTACATTATAATACATCTTCCATACTGAGGTCAGCAGTTCTTGATTTGGGCTGGTCAAACACCAAAGTGGGAATGATTCAACTACTGTTTCCTTTCCATTGTACAATATTAAGTGTGTAAATACACAGAAGTGCATAAAACTGGAAAAGTAAAACTGACTTCACTAGAATGGGCTCTACCAGTGATAGTTTTTCTGTATTGGTCCCTCCAAAACCATCATAATTAAACACTTCTTTGTTCTTTTTTTAAGGTTTATCTTAGCTCCAGGAGTGGCTCCTGGGTGATGAGTCGTGTTTGGGATAATGGTTACCCATGGGATATGCTGTATGTAACTCGCTTTGAAACCTTTGTTCGAAATTCCCTCCCGACCTCCATCAGTGACTGGCTGTACGTGAAGAAGATGAATCAGAAGTTTAAGCATGAGAACTATGGCCTGATGCCTTTAAATGGGTAATTTTATGGCAGTTTTATTATAAAACATTGGAGAAAGAAAGAAAAACCTTGTTTAGCTTTGAAGATGCAGTTCCTGTGGTACTCTAACTGAACTCTAGCTTGTGTAGAAGAGCCATTTGCCACAAGGTAAAGGGAAAAGAAGTCCACTGTGCATCATATGCTCTAAGGTAACTGACCACATGACATGCTCTTTTCCAGAGGCAAGTGAAAGTTAAACCTCAATAACTTAGTCTCTTGCATTGAGAAATAAGCTACTGCTATTTAGCTTTTATCCACCACACAGTGGCTGCATCTATACAAGACACTAAATGCACAGTAGACTAATTCTACCATGCATTAACATGTCACAGCAAAAGCCATACTAATGCGCTAATACACAGTAGAATTAGTCTACTGTGCACCAGCATCACAAGAAAGGGTGCTCCAGCACTACTGTGCAGTAGCACCAGTTACTGCACATTCAGTTAGTGCATGTAATTTCAAGTACTAAGCTGAATATGCAGTAACCACAATACATTAATGAACATGTAGATGCACCCAGTAAAGAGGCCTGTGTGAATAGGGAAATATTTGATTCGGATTCAGATTCAACCAATTTGGAGGACAGTGATTCAATTAGGTGATTCGAATCACTGTCCCCATGCGATTCGGCTGAATTGGAATCTTAGATTCAGCACTGTTTCAGTGCTGATTCGGAGATTCAGATTGGCTGGGGAGGGGCAGGCACAGCCAGGTGGCTACAAATTCTCCCGTGGGTCCTCTGGCTGTGCTTGCCTCCCCCTGGGCAGTGGGAGCCATGGGAAAAGCCCCCATGGCTTCCCTGCCCGACCCCATCCCTTCCCCATCCCGGCCTCCTGGCACTTAAAAAAATAACCAAAAAACCCCGCATTTACTGGCTGCAGCAGTGGCGATCAGCTACATGGGAACCCCCCTCCCCCAGTCAGCGCAATTGTCCGTGGGGGGACACGCCTCCCTCAGTTGCTGACTGGCGGCTGGGGGGGCAAGTGCCCAGAAGGGCCAGGGGGGCACCCAGAAATACCAGTGGCACTTCTCCTAGCACCCCACTCCCCAGCTGCCGGTCTTAGGGGGGGCACCAGCACTCCTTCCTGCTTGCCCTGCCCATCATCTAAGTTGGGAATGCTGGCTGTGAGGAGGTGTACCATTACTTTCAGGGGGTGCACATGCACCCCCGTGTACCCAGTATGCATTGCCACTGAACAAGTTGTAGGGCTGTGCGAAACAGCACCATTTCATTTCGACTTCCATTTCACTGTTTTGATGGGACAGTGTTTCGTTTTGACATTGTGTTTCATTTTGAAGCACTCTTCTGTTTCATTTCATCAAAACTGTTTCGACAGTGTTTCGACGTTTCACCCATAGGCTATAATGGGGAATCATGAAAATGCCTATAACATTGTCATTTCTTGCCTGATATGGATGAAAATTGCAGGGACGGTAGCCCCTTCTTAGAGCATGAAGCCTGCCAAGTTACAAAGAGATAGGTGCAGGAGTTTCTGGGAAACTGCTCCTCAAGGTGCTGACAAGTAAAACTCATGGCACTTGCCAGCAGCAGCAGTCTACTGTCATCCTGCACACAGATCTGGGGGCCCACACCCCCAGGAGAGCTGTGGGGATGTGCTGGACTCCTCCTGGGGGTGCAGGCCTCTGGATCTGTGCTCAGGATGACAGGAGGCTGCTGCCTGGGATCAGCACTGGGCATAACCCGCGCCCAGCATCAGGAAGATTAGTGTTGCTGCTGGCCCTAGGCAGCAGCGGCAGCCTCCTGTCATCCTACATAAAGATCTAGGGGTCCACACCCCCAGAAGGAGTCCGTCAGTGCTAGGAGGGCAGGTTGGCCTCTGTGGGGTGGCAGAGCCGGTCAGAATGCCGCCCTAGTTCTCCCTGCCTCCTGCCACCAGGTTGCACTCCGACCAGCTCTGCCAGCCCCATGGAGCTCAGCCCAGTGGTGGGAGGCAGTGGGAGAGCCAGTGGTGGAGCTGCTCAGAGTGCAGCCTGGTGGCAGGAGGAGGGGGAGAGCTAGGGTTGCACTCTGGCTGGCTCTGCCAGCCCCACAGAGATCAGCCCAGTGGCAGGAGGCAGGGGAGAACCAGGGCTGTACTCCGCCTCCTGCCACTGAGCCAAGCTCCGTGGGCCTGGCAGAGCAACTTGGAGTGCAGCCCTGGCTCTCCCCTCACCTCCCACCACCAGGCTGCTTTGAAACTCAAAATGTTTTGAAATTTTTTAAATGTTTCAAGTGCCCTAATTTCATTTTGAAACTGTTTTGAAGCTTTTTGTTTCATTTCAATGTTGCTTTTTCAAGCTCAAAACACATTGAAACAGCTTCGAAACAAAACACTACGCAAAATTTCGCACAGCCCTAGTTTTTAGCAAATTGACTTAAAAAGAAGAGTGCATAATAAGGAAATGAAATGTCATGCTTCAGGGCACACATTGATTGTTCACAAAAGCTTAAAAGGAATCTTTCTGCTCTATATACATATGGAGTTATACCCCTGGACAGGCACATTATCATTTTGTGACTGGCTCTGTTGAATTACTACTGGAGAGAAGACACAAAACTAGCTGAGATAATGGTTTGATCCAGTACAGAAATTATTTTCTTAAACCATGTCTATCTCTGTTTCATACTAGAAAATCAATGTCTTTTGTAGCTAATTCAAGGCTGCATTTAATTTGAAATGCTTCTTGTTTTAGCACTAGCAGGGATTTCAGAACACTGAGGAATTTCAGGTTGACATTTCTTATAAATCTCACTACACAATAGTAAGCAATTTTCATTTTACTACATGCTGAAAGAATAAGAATAAGAATAAGAAAAATAATGTCTCATTTAAAGCAATACTTGTGCTTACTCTTTGTTGTAGTAGTAATAGTGTGCTAATGTAGTGGAAAAGAACCCCATTTTCTTAGGTGTTGGATAAATAAGACTGATTTCACTGACACAACTATGTTTGTAAAAGAAAGTGAAAAGCTGAATGCAGAACTACTCATGGGAAATAGATTTGAAATTCATTGCACACACACACACACGCACAGAAACAGGATCATAAGAGAGAATCCATAAGTTAATACACTGCAAACGAAGAGGTGGACAGTGGCTAGGAATAAAGGAAAGAGTTACGGTCATTTGTGGATCCTAGATATAATTTTTAATTTTCAAATGGTGGCTCTACAACTTTAACTTTTAACTTCCAGGCTTTCAAACTTACATTTTTGCAACTAGTAATGACAGCAAATAAACTGAAACAGCTATTGACAACCTTAACCATCTCTAAAATGAGATTGTTATAGGGTTATGATGATGATTATGCAGTGCTGGTGATGGATAACTCTTGGTTCAAGGATATTGGGAGTCTTGGTCTGACATTCTGATGCAAGAAGATTTGCACATAGTATGGTTCTCTCACTCTCTTTGCATATCCCAGATAGGAAACAAGAAGTCCTTTTAAATAGAGGCCTACATGTTTTCTGTTTGTAGAACTCTGCGCAAAGAGCCGGTGTTCAACGATGACCTCCCAAGCCGTATTGTCTGTGGGATGGTGCTGGTAAAACCCAATGTGAAGGAATTCACGGAAACCTCAGTTATATTTCAAGATGGAACCAAGCAGGAAAATATTGATTGTGTCATCTTTGCAACAGGCTACAGCTATGCTTATCCCTTTATGGAAGATGACTCCATTATCAAATGCAGAGACAATGAGGTTACTTTGTACAAAGGCATTCTCCCTCCTCGACTAGAGAAGCCAACTATGGCTGTCATTGGGCTGGTCCAGTCTCTTGGTGCAATTATTCCAACTTCTGAACTCCAGGCTCGCTGGGCTATCAAGGTGTTTAAGGGTACGTGAATGGAAAACTGGTGAATAGGGAAAACTGTCCCTAATATATTTTACTTTACTTCCTGGCAGTGGAAATTAGCATTCTTCTTCAGGTTACAGCTGCATGCAGACACAAACTGGGGATCTGATATGAAAAGAAATGCATGCATACATGTGTATACCTACAGATATGATGGGGTTACAGTGAAAGTTGTTGGTCAGAGAGAGCTGGATTAGTTTACCTGTGTGTGGGGCAGAAATATATTTCATCACTTAGGGGGTGACAGCATATGTACCCCTGTGTGTGGGGCAGAAAGTATATTTCAGTACTTAGGGGTGACATGTTTGGTGACGCTGAACCTGTTCTTTTCTAGGATCATTTAAGCTTCCTCCGGTAAGCAGCATGATGGATGATATTGATGAAAAAATGGGGAAGAAACTCAAATGGTATGTGAAAGGTGCCATTCTCAAGCAGCTTTCTATACTCTGTGTGCACGAATAAGAGTAACAAGGGCTGTATTTTCTGAGCAAGTCCCACATAATTATGTTCTCCATTCTTTATAATTTATATATTTTGTCCAGAGGCAGATCTGGGGGTGAGGGTCGTTGGTGCAGTAACTCCCACCCACCTTTAACTCCTGCTCCATTCAAAGTTTAACACAATCTGCCCTTTAGGAGCAGCTGCATTTCTGTTTAGGTGGAGCTGAGGCAGTCAGTTGACTTCAGGGCTCATTGTTACCTACCTCAGTGATGCCCAACTTTTTTGTCCTGTGGGCCAGATGAGCAGCACCCATTCTGCCCACAGGCCAGATCTGGCCAGTGGACCTGATTTAGGGTGCAGTGGATGTGAGGAGCTCATGGAGGGCAGTCCGGCCCTAACCTGGCTGAATCAGGAAGGGAGGTAGGGGTGAGAAAGGGCATGTGACCAAGCCCCAACCCAGCCATATAGGGCTTGGGAATTTGGTAGCCAGGGAGGAATAGCATTATTAATTGCAACTGCTTCCCCACTGCCAAATTTCCTGACCTATGGGGAGGTCCATGAGCCAGATGCCATGACTTTGTGGGCCAAACTTGGCCTACAGGCTTTGGGTTGACCACCCCTAATCTACCTCCTAATCTACTTGATTCCTACTGATTTCTTCATTCCATAGGTGTTTACAATCCTTGATCTTTCATTAATCAAGCTACCTTTCTACATTTTTCCTGCCTGTTATCTACTCCTGGTAATGTTTCTCTGTTCACACCCTCAATGTGTCTAATAAAGGTGTGCTATTTACGGACCTGTACTGGGTGGCTTTATTCCCAAGGGATTCAAACTCATAGCAGATCAGGGACAGAGAGGGAAGAAGCAAGGCTGCAGGAAGGCTGTGCTGTGGTACAGCGTTTAAAGGCAGAAAAAGTTGAAAGGTGATGCAAAGACAGAAGTTGTTGTAGTGACCTTGGGTTATTCATTGCAGCAGATGATGGAGGCTGTATGAGCTTGAACCAGCATTGCAGCTAGGGTGGCATAAAGCTGGGCATGGGAGGATCCAGAGAGGTTGGTCCTTGGGTAGTGGCACTGCAAGTGGCTGAAGTGAGTCCTTCCCCAGCCCCCAACTGTTTGTTTCTGTAGAGAGCAGTGGAGGCCAGCTATAAGCATGCTGTGAGATCATGGGGGGAAAGGAGAGAAGTTGCAATCCTGCCTCCATCTGTCCCATGGTCAGGGGTCATGAGGGGTTGGGGGAACTGTTTGGGAGGGGTTCTGGGGGGGAGGGGCTTTCAGGAGCTGTGAAGAGCTAGATAGGGGGTCATAGGCACTAAGGGAGTTTTGTAGGGAGGAAGATCTATGAGGTAGAGCAGTGTGGGGTAAGAAGGGGCTGGAGTGCTATTAGGGGATGTGAGCATGGATGAATCCAGGATTTTGTAAAACAAGGTGCAGGAACAGCAACCCCTCCCTCCCCACTCCTCCTCCACTGAGGTAGGTAGACCTCTTTGGGAGAACAGTAGCCAGGGATTTTTGTTTAAGTCCCTGAATCAGGTAAAAACCTCACCCCACACTCAGCATCCCTTCCCTTTCCCTCCATGCTGAGCAGTATCTTCCTTCCCTTCCTATTCTCTACCTCCACCAGGATCTGCCATGGTCTCCAGTTGCCCCAGGGGCAGCTGTAGCTCCAGAGCTGCTCCTTCCCTGCTCTAGGTAAGGCTGTGTTGTATGGGGAGCTAGGCTCATGTGGGGGCAACAAGCAGGTTCCTTCTCCCTATGCCTGCTCCCAGGCTGGTGGGAAACAACTGGGGGTGGGAACTGGGCAGGGAGGGAAAACCTACCCATTGGGCATGTCTACACAGGCATTTATGCTGGCTTAAATTTACTGAGCAGTAAATTGCTGCACAGTAAGCAGGAATAGGCTAGTGTCTACATGTGCAGGTGTTAAAGTGCATTAATGCTGTGCGTGGACTGATTTGGGACTAAAGCTAATCCCAAATCAGTCCACACACATGGTGTTATTATGCAGTAGGTCGTCTACATGTGTGTTACTGTGCACTAACTAATTGGGCATAAATTTGAGATCTGCATGATACAGTTCTCAAATTTACACTCAAGTCAGCATAAGTCACCATATTTACTGTGCAGTACAGGCGTGCAAGTGTACACGCATGCCCATACTACATAGTAATTTCAGTTATTGCTCAGTAAATGTGCACATGTAGACACACCCATTGAGTTGCTGCTGCAGTCCCTGGCTGAGCCTTGTTCCACTGCCTTCAGGTCAGCCAAAGATAGCAGGGGCATCAACAGCGGGGGCAGAAGTGAGGAGGAATGTGGGGGGAGGCATTTGTGACTTATTCAGGGACTTTAAAAGTCCCCAGCTACTGTTCCTGCAATGTGGTCTGAAAGGGATTGCAACTACGCCACTGCATTCCCTCTGGATCCACCCCTGCATGTGAGGGGCAAATGAGGTCTGGGAGTAAACTGAGGTATGAGGGAGGTTTGGGATCAAAATAGATTGTGGGGGAACAAGCACCAGGGGGTGTGAAATGCTGCAGTGAAGTTTGTGTTTTCAAAGGCATAAGGGAATGAAGGGTCAGGAGGCCTGGGGTGATGAGGGCAGGTTTGTGCAGGGTGCAGTGTTGTTATGGATATAGTGAGAGGGTAGGGTAGGACTCAGCAGTGCGTGAGGGGAATGGTGGAGCGTGATGAGGCTTAGGGCATGACGGCATGGGGCTGAGCATAGGGCTTATGCATAGAGGACAGAGTGGAGCCAGAGGGCATTTGAAGTGCCAGGGGCAATACATAAATGGCAGTGAGGAGCACTTTGGGGCATATTGGATTGCCTGGGGGGACCCATGTGTTAGGGAGCAGAGAGCAGTCTTGTCTGTGGGCGGGGGGAAATAGATGTACTCCCATAGCACAAGGTAGCTGCCCCACTCCAGAGCTGGCAGTCTGTCCCCCTCCAAAACACATTTGCATTTGTTTATTCTTGGATCTTAAACTAAATAATACAGCCCATGGTCTCTAGCATATTAATAAAGCTTCTAGTTCTTTTTAATTCGAAAAAAACGTGTTGTGCTATGGGATGATGTACCACACCACATGCACCCCACTTTTCAGAACCCTAGATGTACCCATGGTTGTGTCAGATGTCTCTCTGCTGCCTTGCTACCCACTGGATCACCGCTGGTTCCTCACTTTTATCAGACAGTGTACATATTGCATATGCTCCAGCACAGCTATTTCAGGGGAAAAAAAGAAAAGAAAAGAAAGGCAAAACTTCTGCATTGCCAGACTGAGGCAAACCTGCATGGCTTAATTGACCCCAAACTTTTTTTTTTTTTAAATCTTGCTTTATTTAAAAAAATAAAAATGAATATATTCTCTTCCAGAATTAAATTTTTGTTTAAAATCAAGGAATCTCTCATGAAATGGAAATTCTCATCTAGCTTTGGTAAAGGAAAGCTTTGCTAAGGGAAGATGAGTTACTGAATGGATATGCTATAATGGCAGAGAATTATCATTTTTGTCAAAGTATAAAGACAGTCCATCAGTTCCTTCACATAGGAATTGCCAGTTAAATCAAGGCTTCTCATATCTAGAAATACTGTTTGCATGAATGGTCTGGGTTGGGGCCAGAGAAGCTCTTACAAAGTTGGGTCTTTTTTCTTCTTGTCCACTTTCCTGTAAACTGGAAAGTTTTTGGTGTTGCTTTGATTCTGTTTTAGAGTCTTCTTTCTGTTGAGAAATCAGGGCTGAGGAAAAGAATTTGACCTGGAGTCTGAACTTGATTTGAACCCTTCCCTCCCCTAGCACCAACTTCCTTGTAGAATTCAGGCATTATGCAAAAATCTCTGTTTATCCTATAGCATCTTTCTTTTACATAGTAATTAGCCATGGGCTATATATTTTCCTTTCCCACCTTAAGGTTTGGAAACAGCAGTACCCTACAGACAGATTACATAGTCTACATGGATGAACTGGCTTCTGCCATTGGAGTGAAACCCAATATTCTGAAGCTGTTTCTGACGGACCCAAGACTGGCCCTGGAAGTTTACTTTGGCCCATGCAGTCCATACCAGTTTCGTCTAACAGGTCCAGGAAAGTGGAATGGAGCCAGAAATGCTATCCTGACCCAGTGGGACCGGACACTGAAGGTCACAAGGACTCGAGTTGTTCATGGTTCTAAGACAGGCTTCCCCCTCTTAAATTTGCTTACAATCCTCTTCTTCCCTCTTCTCCTTATTGCTGTTTTTCTGATGTTTAACTAAAAATCAAGTGTTTTCAGAATCTCAAAGTGAAAATTGTATATAGAGAAGAAAATTTGTCTTGCCAAGGCTAGTAAGACTTTTGCCATTGAGGACATTCCTAGTTCAAGTGTATCTACATATGCATAGATATGCCTTAATATATACACAACACCTGCAGATATGAACTCTATAGTCCAGAGCCCAATCTAATATAAAGTGAAAGAGCTCCATAACATTTTATGTTAATTTTCACTTAATGAGAAGCTGGTCCTATGATTTGTGCTATTTTAATTATAGCCTAGGAACTACTAAAAGTCGAAGGTATGACTAGGAAACAGAAAGTATGACAAGGAAAATATATATAAAAAAAAGATATAATCTCAATGCTTTCTAAATTCAAGAGCTCTTATGACATGGTTCTTCAATAGTGTAAGATAGAACTGGTCAAAAAGTGCCATTTATTGTATCCAGGAATTTTTTTTATATCTCTCTATTTTTTTAAATTCTGTATGGTATTTGTTTTGTCTTGTTTCCCAAGGAAAATCTGAAACTAATGGGCTCCTATACACATGCAGGGAGCCTGCTCCGAGACATTGCAAATCCAGTGCAGCAGAGCAGACTTGATTAGGCGAGTCTGCTGGAGCATGGAAATTAATGCACTCCAGCAGACTCCAGCATCATGTGTATCAGCATCCCTGTGCTGAAGAATGGTGGCAAGGCACTTTAAACTAAAGCTTGTTTTATGAATTTTAGTTCAAAGCGCCCCGCCGCCATTTTTCAGTGTGGAGATACTGATACAGGTGACACTCAGGCGCCTTTAATTTGCACGGCTCGCTAATTAAAGCGCTGCCCCCTTCCCCCCCACCCCATGCCTCCTGATGCATGTGTAAAAATGCCCAATATGCTTTGGTTTTTGTAAACTGATATGTTTAACAAAAATTAATTTGTTTAGTTTCCAGTTTTTTGCATTATAAAAAACTTCAAAATAAAAATGTTTGTAGAAAAATGTTTTGTTTTGGTCAAAATGTTATTTTTTTTGAATGGGGGGGCCTTGTCATCAAAGAAATTTCCTTCAGTTCTAATAATAATACACTCATTTTAACAGAGCAGTTAAATGCAGCCTGTCTTACAGCATACAAAAATGCATACAGTGCAGAGCTATCAAAATAAATAGCCAGGCTGCTATAATAAAAAACATTACCTGTGGCCTTTGGAGAGAATGTAACAAGAAATGTTAAGAGATGTTTAACAGCCCATTTGTTTCTTTTACTCTTTTTCCTTTCACAATCAGATCTTTACTGCAGCATTGACTCAAGAAATCTACACTTGAGTTACAGCTTGTCTTCCCTGCTAAATAAGAAGCTGCCTTTGGGCTTCTAGTCATTCTGTAACCACTGCTTCTATGCTAGTACTGACCCAGATATGTCAGGAAAGCCCCTCCAGAGAAAATGCAGAGGGTTTTTTCTGCTAGCACAGGTCAGTAGTATAACTAGGGGTGAGTGAGTGTGGCCCCAGCCTCAGATGACAACTTAGAAAGGGCACACGTACACTACCTGTCTCAACAGCATCAGCTAAGCTGGCAGAAACCCTGTTCTGTTGCATAGATGGTTCAAGTCTATAGTCTTGGCAGCATACCTGCATCAAAAAAGTATGATGTTTCTACACTTCTAGCCAACAGCAATGTTGGCAAAACTCTGATGTCTAGACCTAAGGTACTGAGAAGTGCCTCACATAGTGGTAGGGAGTTGATTTTGGTGAGTTTACCTCAAGCAAAAACTGATGCCTTAGATTTCACTGTATGTAAACCTCACATGATTTTTGTTTCTGTTTTGTCTTTTTTTTCCCTTTAACTTCCTCATTCCTACATGGAATGAGAGTAGCTACACAACAAAATAATGCTTGAGCTGCATAGTGGTCGTATTGGCAGCTGAGGACCTTCGTTGACTTAAGCTATTGTCTATATCCTCCAATGGGCCAACCAACTCAATGTTAAAATCACCACTGCATTTCAGGGAGTTTGTGTTTTGATGCATTTCAAGTTAGGGGTAACACTTGAGTAACAGTTCCTGTCCACAGCTCTGTAACAGGGCACCTGAAACCTGTTATTCACACACAAGGGAAGGGGAGGAAGGCCCATTCAGCATACCCAGGCCATGTACCAAAGTTGGCCACATGAAGGCGGGAGACCGGGCAGATGGCATTCCAAAAGAGGAAGACTGTGAGAGACATTTGGGATTTGATCAGGGATTGAAGAAACCAGTCCAGGCAGAGGGAATCCACAGCAGGGAGCTCCTGTCACTTTAAGAGGACAGAGC